CATTTTGAGCATGGCTCCCATGGGTGAATGTTGCCATCTGCCCTTTGATTTTTCTCTGCACTCTCCACCCACGTGTCCTCTGTGAGCTGGTGTTCTCTGCCTTTCTCTACCCAGTGGCCACTCATTTGTCTTTGTTAGAAGTGCTGGCCTCCCACATTCTCACTGGGTGGTCAGGAGTTGGACTAATGCTGAAGATTAGCAGGCTTAAAATAATTTCAGATTCATCTTAATTTGGACGGAGGTTGAACGGCAGTATACCACTGGCTTATTTATGCAAAAGACTTTTTGCCAATAATATTAAAGCATATGAATCAGAGATAGAACTTATTTATCTAAGAAGACAGTGTTTTAAAGTAGCTGGAGGAACACTAGTTATATTCAATAGGATAGTGACAATAGAAGCAGAAAGTGACCTCATTTTGGGTGATGCACATTTCGTCTCTAAAGGAGGACCCATTCAATAGGATAGTGACAATAGAAGCAGAAAGTGACCTCATTTTGGGTGATGGCACATTTCAGTTGAAACTTCAGGCTTTACCGGATGCTCCAGACTGGGTGGAAGCCGTTTTCCTGATTTGCATCTACTCATGGAACTGGAACAACCCTGAGTTTTGACAGCGTCAGAAATGGTCACTATCTTGTCAATTCCTTTTGGCTTGGACATTTAATTAAGGCTAGGACTTGATTAATTTGAGGTTCTCAGGAAACACAGGGTGTTAGTTATTAATTTAAAATACAAGTTTTCAAGGGAGGGAGCTAAATCAGACAGTTTGCATTCTGATTGTGTATGCCTAAACCATCTATTCTATAGAATTTATAGCTGACTGCTTCTATGCCAGGAGCTATACTTCCCTGAGAACATTAGAACTATTTCTATGTAAAAATAAACTTCCTTCTACCTAAGGTTTCCCAAACTTTTTGCTGATTTCAGACCATTCCTTCTCCTTAGGTTGGTCAGAAAGGTTATTCTTTCAGCTCTCATCAGTTTGAATGAAAAGATAGTTTGCACACACACACACACATACACACACATATGTATATTATAAACAGGTAAATTTTTTTTCTTTTTCATGCTCATGTATGTGTGATGGGTGTGCGTGCATGCCTGTTTCCACATGTGTGTGGGTGTGGAGGCCTGGGGTTAATGTTGGGAATCATCCTTAATCACTCTCCACTCTATTCATTGAGGCAGGGTTTCTCACTTGAACCCAGTGCTCACTGATACAGCTAGTCTTAACTAGCCAGCTTACCCTGGGGATCCCCTGTGTTCATTTTCAAAGTGCTTGAATGGCAGGTGTGTGGTCATGACCACTTGGAGTTTACATGCTTTCTGGGGATCAGAACTCCAGTCTTTACATTTGTTACTTACATGGCAAGCTCTTTAACTGCAGGGGCCATCTCCCTAGCTTGAGACAACTGTTTATTATCTCATTGGTTTTCGCGACAACTGAGATGGGTTATGATTGTTATCTTCCTTTTTAAATTTTAATTTTTAAATGTATTTTAATAGTTCTTTGAGTATTTCAATCATATTCACCCTGATCAACAGGTCCACATCCCTCATCCCTCCCTACTCAATTTTGTGTGCTCATTTTTTTTTAACTCCCCAGCAGCTACCAATTGCCAATAGCTACTCAGCTAGGGGATGGGATATCTTGCCACCACCCCCCTCCATATTTTGTCTGGCCTGAGCCGGTAGGTCTTGTACATGCTGTCACAACTGCTGTGAGTTCATATCGTATCTGCCCTGTGCGTTGCCGGGGAAAGGATCCTTTTGTCATCCATAATCTTTCTTCCCCCTCTTCTGCAATGATCCCTGAGCCTTTACATTGGATTATCATTAGCTGTTAAGAAAAATGAAATTATGAAGTTTGCAGGTAAATGGATAAAGCTGGAAACAATCTTCCCTCTTTAAAATAAATGCAGTCTGAGGATTAGTCTGATGAAATTGCTGCAGAATGCCTCCTTGTAGCTCCTTTTTCTATGATTATCTTAAAAACACCCCAAGGCAACTTACAAACTACCTCTCAATTTTGAATCCCTGGCTGGTCTCCATAGGGCTCCTTCAGCAAAGGGGTTTTGCTCAGTTACTCCTGCAGCTTCCCTACTCTAAGACACTGCTGGAGCCTCTGTGCCTCCCTTTGCCCCCTACCGCTCCCTCCTCCTAACATAGCTGGGGCAGGTGAGCGAGCCCCAGGCGTCAGAGGAGTATAGAGACTCTTATTCATTTGATTTCAGTTTTATAGAATTTGGAAGGCACTCCCAGCCTTAAGATTTTGCTATCTGGTATCTGTTCCTTGTAGTGTGGATTGGGGAAAATACTGAGGGGCCCCAGGGAGAAAGGAGCTGTGTTTGGTCCTGTGGCCCTGCCTGGGGACTGGGAGGCCGAGCCTGTGTACCCACATGGAGACAATGGACATAGTGAGTAAGAATGTGGCCCATGGGACCCATGAGCCCAGAAGTCAGATTATATCCCTTGAAACAAAGCTCTGGACTTTGCCTTTTACTCAAGCATCTTGTTCTGCCCCAAGAACCTTAGGCAGGACTGTGTGCATGTCCTAGGAGAGGGACTTTCAAACAATCCGGTTCTTTTCAGCCTGCTTGACCACAATGTCCCTACTGCAGCATGGGGCACTGGGTCAGAGGCACAGCCTTGGGCACTGATTAGCGTACTCATATGAGAGTCTCAGCAGTGGGAACCCAGGGTTCAGGAATGAATCACCTTGGCTTCTTAGCCTTTGGGACAGTTCCCCAGAGGTGATTATTGGCCAAAGTGGAGAAAACAGCTAAGTAGGCCCGTTAGTTCCATTAAAATGCTGCTCCTGGCTAGGAATCAGCTCTAAGGAGCATCCTCCACAGAGTTCCTGTGATCTGCAGGGGGCAACTCCAAGTTTCCAGCAGCACTTTCCATCCTGGCCTATGGTGGTTACTAGAGGCAGTCTGGCCTGTGAAGAGGCACCTTCCAGATGTTGCTGACGTGGCTGAGAGCCATTGCCACTGTGGCCACTCTGTGCCTGTCCTTCACCACATGTCAAAGGTGGTGACAGGGCCCTCTAGCTTGGACACATATTATCCACATTATATAGAGGGGGCTCAAAAAAATAAGTAACGGTGCCTCATTTGTAAATGGCTATGCTAGGATTCAGATCCTTATCCATCTGGATTTCTTTCTCTTCCACCATTAACCTCATTGGGAAGTATCACTATCCAACTTGGGATATTGATGGTGGGTAAGCATCTGGGGTATCACCATAGCTATGAGATGAAGAAGGAGGGCAATGTGGCTCTAGGGTCTGCGCACTAGGCTGTCCCCACAGAGACCATTTTGGCAGCAGCCATGCTATTGGTAGGAGCAAGAGGCTATCTTACGCTACTCTGGTTTCTGTGGACAGGCTCATGGTGAAGCCACTTGCCTTGGGGGAATTACAGTGTTTGATGCCCATGTAAGAGTGTAATCCTGGCTCTCACCCAGGCTGTCCTTTTCACTCTGTCTGTTTCTATAACTCCCTGTTCAATTTGTATGCAATTACTGTCTAGCCTCAATTCCAATATGTCCTTGGTCCCAAGAGGACATTTTTTCACACTTTAATATCTTTGCAATCAGCACACATCTTGTCATTGAGAACTACACATAATGGGGTGTGGCTCTTTAAATTGATGTTGCATTTTAGAATTGATAGAGACCAAGAATTGAGGAAATATGAGAATTCATGCCTTTATTCAACCCATCAGTCACCTACAATAAATGTCAGACATGGCACTAGATGCTAGAGACTTAGAAATAATTCATCTGCCGTCCTTGAAGTCATCATTTAGAGCAGGAAGATGGGCCTGCCAAATCAACAGCCCAAGCTTGCTAGTTTTCTATGGGAAGACTTCTGAATTTGGGGAAGGATTTGGAGAAGCTGAGGCTGCTTTGAGGAGAAGGTGTTTCATGAATAGGAACAGAAGGATTAGCAGAAGGTTGGGGATGGGTGGTCTGGAATTGTATAGACAAAACTGAATAGTTGGAACAAACAACAGCTCAGAATCATGAGAAACTAGACTGTGTTTGAGAACATCAACAGGTTTACTGTGGCCAGAGTGGAGGGTGTGTGTGGAGCCCTGGGTATAAAAATGACACCACAGGGATGGACATGGGCAAGTGGTGGTGGACCTTAGGTGTCATGGAAATAGTTTAATCTCTATCTTGAGTCCAAAAGTGAACCATTAAGGGGTTTTACATAAGAGAATCTGCCTTGATAGGTATTTAGTAACTCTGCAGAGAAAACTGATTGGATGAGGACAGGGGGTTGGATGGAATAAGCCTTCCAATAGCCATTGGAAGAGAAAGAAGTTACTGTGAAGAATTTTTAAAAAGTCTTATTTTCATTTTACTATTCCAAGACAGCTGTATCTGACACTGTAGGCTTGAAGGTCACCCAGGTTACAGATGGACAGCTGGGCCTCTAGCAGTAGTTGCCAACATAAGGGGCCGCGTCCTCATCCCAGGAGAGCTGTGTTCCATGTAGGCTGACTGATCTGTGATGCTTATGAGGAGAACTTAACTTTTGTCTCTACTTGTTGAAGAAGGGTCCTACAAACCTATAGTGATGGCATTCCAATGAACACTTGCCAAATTAGTTCACTGTTCAGAAAATTTTATGGTTGAATAAGAGCATATGACAACATTTGGGAAAAATGTACAGGAATTGGTGCAGCCCATCGAAGGGTAACACAGTGGACATATCTCCATAGGATATCAGATATTAAATGTTTGCTGTCATAAAAAAGAAGCAAATAAATTGCTTTTGTTGTATATGGAGGTCATAAAAGAAACACGGTACTGATGCTGGTGGCCATCTGACTGTTCTGCCTATGAGAGATGTTCTGGGACAGATGTGGGTACGAGAGATGTGGAAGGAGATTTCCCACCATATGGATGTTTAGAAAAGGGATGAGGGATGATTCAATGTGACTCAAGACTTATGATTCTCTTCCCTTCCCACTTCTCTGAACAGGTTCAGTGCCATACTTACACAGGGTACTGCTGGTGTGTCACCCCAGATGGGAAGCCTATCAGTGGCTCTTCTGTGCAGAACAAAACTCCTGTATGTTCAGGTACCGTAGGGAGGGGTGGGAGGAATAAAAAGGATTGGAGAGAGACCTGTTGGGTGGGCTGTGCATCTGGGGGACCCTTTGGAAGGTGGTATGGTAATGAGTAGTCAGCTAGGTAAAAAGGGCCCATCTGTGCCTGTGTGGGTATGTTTGTTTATTTATAATTTATATTTCTGATTCAGTACTCTTTTCTTGGCTTAGGAGTAGAATGGCATGTAAGTATTTAGGTTTTTTTTTTTTTTTCTGTGTACTACTGGTCCTTGAAGTGCATTAATGGGAATAATTTTGAAGCTGCATGAAAGTTCCATATAAAAGCCTTCAGTGATGATTAGTGATGTCTGTCATGGACATAGGAAAAGAGAGTACTAACGTCTCTGCTATATATCTGTCATCCTTGACTATGTAATAAAGAACAATGGAACACTTTGGTAGCAGTGGATCTTATGTCTTATTGTCTGGCTGATCATGAGTAGTGCCTGGGGAATTAAAGAGAAGCCAAATATCAAAGGTTTTCCTTGTATATTCTGACCAATAGGCACTAGACCTGGAGGGGACCTAAAGCCCTTTTTAGGGGGCAGGAAGTTTACAGGATCTCCTTTTAGTCTATAAAGAACAATGGAACACTTTGGTAGCAGTGGATCTTATGTCTTATTGTCTGGCTGATCATGAGTAGTGCCTGGGGAATTAAAGAGAAGCCAAATATCAAAGGTTTTCCTTGTATATTCTGACCAATAGGCACTAGACCTGGAGTGGACCTAAAGTCCTTTTTAGGGGGCAGGAAGTTTACAGGATCTCCTTTTAGTCCCAGCTGGCCTGGAACTTGCTTTGTAGACCAGGCTGGCTTCAATTTCACAGAGATTTGCCTGCACCATCACCACACCTGGCTCAAATCCTTATTTTTTATGAAGCTTTTCTAATGATTAGACAAATTTGATAACAATCTGTTGGGTTAATCCATAGCAAAGATTAAGTTTTCTATTCCCAACTTTGTGTGTATACAGAGACTTTACTGTTAGGTCAGTTTCTCAGAACTGTAGGTTATGGATTCACGCAAGCCCTACTTTTATACCTCCATTTATTGGTAAAGGGCTTATGAGTCATTCCCTTAAATCTACCATGTAGCTTAGCCCTCACTCAGAAAAGGCAGCCTCACCCTTCAGTGGCTTCACGTTTCCACACATCCATGAATATAGGGTTCAGTTTATTATTCTTAGTTTTTTTTTTTTTTTTGGTCTTTTTGAGACAGGGTCTCCCTATAGCCCCACCTGTCCTGGAACAAGACCAGGCTGGCCTTGAACTCACAGAGATCTGCCTGCCTCTGCCTCCTGAGTGCTGGAATTAAAGGCATGCACCACCACACCCGGCTTTATTATTCTCAATTTTAAGTACAAGCAAAGTATTAAATGTTATGCTAAAACAGAATTCCCAAACCAGCAGCCCATGTTAACCTTTTCTATGTTTTAAATTTTTTTCAATGAAATTTATTCTTCTCTTTTTAAATTAGCTCTTCTAAATAAAGGGAAAAGTAAGTGGGAAGGGTAATAAGAATGTATGTTAGGAAATCAAAATTTACAGGCCTAGAGGGAAGTTTACTTTATCTGTGGTTTACATGGAAACTAGAAACCTTAATTGGGTTTGGGGTGGGAAGGGGTAGGACTTTGCTCTCCTTGCAAATGACCTGGAACATTTCATTTAAAGCAAACAAATGCACGAGACATAAGCCATGCAGGGTAATATAATGGAATCCTCACAAAACTAGTACATGGATGAGTGTGATATAGGTTAGAAAATGGGAATTCTCAATTTTCTTGTGTGGGCAGGACCTCTACAGATGCCTTTCTGTGGATGAATGGGTTTTCCCCGCACATGTGGAATTGGGCCTTAAGAAGATGGCAGGTGTCACAGGATGGCCTGGATGACGGGTGAATGTGGCATCCCAGTACAAGTGGAGCAGCTGTTTGGCCAACAGATATGCTGCCCCCTCCTTGAGGAACAGGCTATGTCTAGAAAATTGTTTCCATGTCTCAGACTATTTTGGCCCATTCAGTACAATTGGGCCAACAATTTTCTACTTAATGCAGATGGAAAATCACCGATTTCCTGCCCTGACCAGCAAGGGATGTCAATCATTACATTTTCAGTAAGAGGGTTTCTTTTCAGTTGGCCCTGGTGACTGGATGTGGGTCAGAACATGGAGTTGGCGAGAAGAGGGGCCATAGGGTGAGAAGAAGCAGTAGTGGGGACGAATATCAGAATGCTCAGCAGGGGAGTTACATGCATGTGGAATTTTATAAAAACCTGGTCAAGACCATTTCCAGGGAACCTAAAAATCATAGTTAATCTCAAAACAGTGCTGGGTTATCAGTGACACTGATGTTAAACAAACCCTATTGAACATGCATGTATGTACTAACTTTGTATATAATATTCTTGGTGTGTATACAATACATACATACATATATATATATATGACCATGTGCTCATAACATCAGGCTTTGCCAAGTCTTTGACAGAAACCAACTGCAGCGCAATCTGAATGCTGTGTTTTTGTTTCTCCTCTCGCCCAAGGTTCAGTCACTGACAAGCCCTTGAGCCAGGGTAATTCAGGAAGGAAAGGTGAGTGGAGTTTCATGCTTTGTCTAAATGTTTGCTTCGAAAGCCAGTCCAAGCAGGGGTTCTTAGCCTACATAGAAGGAGCCTGGGGTGAAAGCTAAAAGTGCCTCATATTCCCAGTTTCTTCCCAGAAGCACTGGAGGTAAGTAAGGCATAGATGGTGATGGTCACTAAGCTTTCAGAGTTTCTCAGGGAGGAAAGTGAGTGTGGTACACAGAATGTGCAGGCACCTTATGTGAACTCTCAGGGTCTCAGTTCCCCTGGAGCTTAGGTGATCGATTACCAACATTCCAGCATTCAACCGAAGAGGATGATGGAGGAAGGACACCCACATCTGCTTTCGACTCTCTTGTTTTGTAAACTCATTTGAGTGCTCCCCTATCCCTTCCTTAACAGTACGTTCCAGCACATCCAGAGCCTCTTCCCCAAGGCTGGGCTGACTTCATGGGTGTGCAGCCTGTGCAGTTGTTTTCCTGAAATCCTCAGTCACGTTGCCTTGAGTCTAAGAGGACAGTGCAGTGTGCACAGGAACAGAGGAGATACAAGTCCTGTGAGTGTCTGCTGCTGGGTCTTGTCGCCCCAAAGCATCTCACAGTTTGTGTGATGTATATATCATTTGGGTTCCATAACAAACTGAAGGCTTTATTTTATTTTATTTATTTTATTTACCTAGAACAATACTAAATAGCAAATTAAACACTGCCTTGACAAGAGAGAGAGACTATGGGAGAGAGAGTAAAGCTTTGTAGTTTGGTTTTAAGGACACTTTTTCCTGACTTTTTTTTTCCTCAAAGGACCTGTATTTGTTTCATTCTGATTTGCATATTTATATATTTATAACTGTCTGAGTGTTATTTAGTGGACCCATGGCATGAATAGTTCCTGCAATATGCTGCCCACCATTTCTGGTGTGGAAGACAGTTTGAGGCCTCAGGTTCACTGCTGTGGGCATCTAGGACAGCACCCAGTCATCTGGAAAGGAGCTAGCTGTTCATTTCACTGCACTTTCATTTCAAGTATGGCTGAGCTTCCTTCCACCTCAGGCAGGATCTGAAGCTTCCCACCTGCACCCCGGCCTCTGGAGCTGCATGCTCGTGAGAGTCCCTGGGGGTGAGGAAGTGATGAGAGTTAGTGCAAAGTTCACTGTGTGCTACACACAGTCACACGGTGGCCTCTGCCTTAGCTTATGCCACTGTCCTGAGTGTAGGAGTTAAGGAGTAGAGAAACTATTGCCATGAGATGCCATACTCTGAACAGATGCTCAAGTAAAAAGTGGTGTTATTACCACTGACTGGAGACAATAGGCCCACAGACAGGAGGGCAGCTTCTCTTTACCCTGGAGAAGGAAAGTGGGAAGAAAAGAACAGATGCCTTTCCAGGTCCTTCTCAGAGCTGGGGAGACAACCAGGCGTGCCATGATTTCCTCCCAAATGGGAAAGTAGTCACAGGCAGGGAAGTCTCTGTAGAGACCTGAAGTCACCAGGGTGGTCCATGGCATGTGCCTGGAGGGGTGGGGAGCAGGAGGCTGCCTTTACTTCTGCTTGCTGCAGATGAAGGCTTCCCCCATCTTTGTTTCTGGGTGGGAGGACCTTGTGGCAGAGAAAAACAGTTAACATTCATGTCAGACTGACCACTCAGATCCCTCCCATCAAAAGGAGTGGGGGGGGGCTGGGGGGGGTAGTGTTCATAAAACACGTACAGGTTCTTTACTGGACAGTAAAAGGCTTTCCTAGTTGTTGTGACTTTGCACACTGCTGTTAACAATGACAGGCAGTTTGTGGTCATCCTGGCTCCCACCAAGCCGGCTGGAAAAGAACAAGGTGGACTGCAGATGGCATTTATAGTAGATAGTAGTGAGCACCCTTTGTCCCCTTTTAGGTGGGGGTCATCCAGGAGGGCTGAAAGAGGGCCAAGGAGCCTGATTCCTCCAGAGTGACTCAGAAGGAAGCCTCCCCTGAGGGGAAGAAGTGATTGTCAGCTCCTAGCTCTTTGAAGACTTCCCTGCTCTGATTCTTTCACCCTGCAGGGTTCGGTGGAGGCTTCTTCTCTGGGGCAAAGGACAGGACAAGTGGTGAGTGGGTGGGTGGGGGTGTTCTAAGACTCATCCCCCTGGAGGCTTGCACTGCTGAGGGGGGGTTCCTCCACTTGGAGGATTAGTTTAGGTACTGAATCCTCTTCTCTTGTCTGCCATGGGTGCACAGTGAAGAGCAGGTTTGGGCCACCGGTAGGAAAGACCACCTGAAGCCACACCTGTCTAGGAAGCTGGAGTTTGAATGGGGACAGGATGCGAGAGGGCACTCGCAATATCCTGTGCTGACCTGCAGAGGTTCCTCTTTCAGCTGCATGTAAGAATGGAATGTGCTTGTGGGGCAGCAGGTGGGACAGCACAAAGGCCCCTTGTCTAAGCCTGTGCCCACATGCGGCTTCTTCCAGAAGGCATCTCTCAGGAATGGGGTCTCACCGCCCTGAGGCCTGCCTCAAAATGATGTTGTCGTGGGCCTGGGGTCAGTGAGGGGTATGATTTGAAAGCAAGTGAAGCCAGAGGTCTGTGGGTGCAAGAGATGGGGGTGCAGGACAGACATGGGACCCAGCCTTCTCTCTTCCCCTAACCCTCTTACTTTCTTGAATATGCCCCACTGATGGGGCTGGGAAGGATCAGTTCTCTCTGCCTGGAAGGAATGAAAAGATGTATTGTGTGATCACAGAGAGTCTGGTTGCCAGCCAGGAATTAGGCCTTGGAAGGGATGGAGGAGAAAGGCAGAGAGCAGGGAGCTGGGGGTGGAAGACCAGAAAGAGAGCAGGAGGGAGGGAGGTCCAGAGGGAGAGAGGCCAGGCAGTAGCAGGTCGCTGCTGCTTGGCCAGGCTGGGAGGCCTGGGTTGCTGAAGACCCTGGCCTCACAGGTGTGGAGCCTGAGGGAAGATGTGGGGGAGGAGGGGGCACTGTTATCTCCCCCAGATGCACGTGCTCCAGGAGGGGAGGAGGGTCACAACTTCAGACTATTTACTTAATCCCTTGGAATGCCCTCTCCTCGCTCTGTTCTTTGGGACCCTTGTGTTTAAATGGACTCCTTTATGGGCACATGTGTGGTAATTAACACATGCAGTGTAGGTCCTGGGCCATGTGTTTGAGTTTCAAATATCCATTGATCTGGGGCAATCCCATCCTGCTGCGCCCTCCCCTTCTCCTCTGGTCTTCATCCTTAAAGACAGATGGAAGGAGGGGTAGGCATGGGGGTGGTGCACATGTGCGTTCGCATGTGTTTTATTGATGCCACAGAGAAATATCTGAAGAGAGGAAGTGGACTCCAGGCAGTCCCCTTGACGCTGAAGAGTCACTGTTCAGTTGAAGGCTGCGGAGGTGGAGAGGTAGATTAATTTGGTTTTGTTTTTTATTTTTTATTTTTTATTGGTGTAGTCCAAATGGAAGTGGCTTAGAAGCAGGCTGTATTTCGAGGTTATTGACTGATCTTGAGCAGCATCATTTGGCTGGCCAGAGTGTTTTCCTGAGATGCTTCTTTCGGGGTTGAGATGCTGAGGTCTCTAGGTGAGCTTGCTTCCAGGGTAACACACAAGGCTGCACTGCTTGTGAGATACCAGAACTATTCTCAGCTTCCCAGGGGAGCCTGGGCAGTGGTGAAGAATGACAGATGAGAGTGTACAGGAGAGCACGCCTGAGATGCTTTTTAGCAGTTCTTGGGAGTGTTTCCTTTGGAAGGCTCAGGATCCCAGAGGCCCTGGTACTACTGATGCTGTGATAAACAGCATGTGAGAGTGGAGGGTTATCAGGGGTTTTCTGAAGTTTGTTTATTTTCTTGTAAGAAGTCTGGGAGTTTGTTGTTTAAGAAAAATGAGAGAAAAATAAAAAGATGAACATTCTGCTTAAAGTTTCCTGTGTGGGCTTCTGTGTTTGTCAAATCAGTCTCAGACTAGGGGCAGATTTTTTTTTTTAACTCTCTCATTTGCTGCTCTGTAGTGAGCGCTCCAAGTGAGGAGTGAGTCACACTTGTTTCCCCAAGGTCCCTGTCTGTCTGTCTGTCTATTTTTAGTTTCTTGTGGAGACTGGTCTGCAGATTGGTGCCAACTTAGAATCCGTGTCCCTCAAGAGTTGGATCAGCATGTAGTGATGGTAGTTTAGGGCAGGAGTGATGGGTAGCAGGTTCTTAGGTAAAGGGACAATGTAGCCTCCAGCCTTCACCTCACGGGGAGAGGGGAGCACATCTGCAGGTCTGTTCCAGTGCCCTGAGCCTGGCTGAGATGGCCAGGATGACTGTCCAGGGGCATTCTATGTGCTGAATATTGCACCTCGTGCACATGATTTTATGTGCTTCATGTGAGTGGAGATAAGCCACTGATGGCTTGTGTACCTTCGCTCCAATACTGTCCTGCTGCAATAGAACTGTGCCTGCACAGGGTCACGCTCAGGGGAAGCAGTGCCTTGGCTCTCTGTGTGCATGTTGCTGCTATGTTGTGCTTTAAGCCACCTTTCCTGGAGCTGGGCATGTTGTAGAGCAGCTCTGTAGAGCTCAGGGTATCCACTGTAAGCAGTAGTGCTCATGCATACACGGTGTCTGTCTCTTTCCCACAGTTCCCTGTTCTTGCAGCTTGACTCTGTTCCTAGTCCCCTGCCCTGCATCTCAGCCCTTACTCCAAATGGCTAAAGGAAAGCTTATGTATAAAGAGTGCTAGACTGAGTCCAAATCCCTGCCATACCTGCATCTCCAAGGGCAGGAGAGGATATGGGACTTAGGGATCCAGAGGGTTTCCTAGTCGTACATATGTTTGAGTCCGATATTTTTATAGTTAGTTATTTTATTGAGTAAGTATTTATTTAGTGCTTACTAAATATCATGCTTGTTACAGTCACAGAGATTCTAGCCATGCATGAAAATGATAAGAGCACAGCCTTACCTCACAGAGCTCATCTCCCATCCCACCATTGGGTCCTCAGCCTTTTATGATAGAGGCAATCTTCAAGTAGATGTGGACCTTCAAGGGATCAATAG